TACCTCCAGAGGGAATCTGACCCTCCTGACATTGCTGTGTGGTGTACCATGTCCTGCAGGCAGCCTGCAGAGCCTCCTGCACCCAACACAGCTGCACTTCAGAGGGGCTCTGTGGCCTTCTGCTGCCCTGGGCTAAGATCAAAACCACAACGTTTTGCCCCTCATTCAGGGGCAGTTCTGCCTAATGTCACCAAAATCACCCCTCAGCCCCTGTAGGTTGCCTCAGGCTTTGGCACTGAATCCAGTCAGCAGAGCACATTACACTCAGGCCTGTGCCAAAGTACACAGCAGTTCCACCTACCAAAGGGACCCAGTGGCCACAGCTCCCAGTAGGCTCTCACTGGTCTTACTGGGAGCCCCAGCTGCTCAGAACTCCTGAAAGGCAGCTCAGCCCTCTGGATAACCTGGGTTCATGCCACCAGCCACAGCAAACACACCTCACCTGAACCACCACAGAAGACAACACTCAAAAGCCACCTGTGATACCTCTGGATCCCAGGGTGTTGCCAATGGTTTGGCTGTTGGCCTGTGGGCAAATACACCTCAGACTGTGTGCACTGAGGCTAGGACTCTGAAGGTGACCAGGTCAAGGGAAAACTGTGGACCCTGGCCAACAAGGATGAGGTTTCACCTTGGGAAACTGCTACAGTCACCTCCTCCACCCAAGGGCCACAGCCTGAGCCCGCCAAGCTCCATCCTAGAGGTCCATGGGGCTGCTGCTTCTACAGAGTGAGCACCTCAAGGTTTGGATTGAGTCTCTCCTCTCCAGTGTGATAAGAAGGTTACCTTTCACTCCCATTTTGCAGAAAACTGAGCTGTATGCAGGCCACATATTCCATATGATAAACATCAGGCTTAACATCATTGTCATAGAATCATAGAATCATTTAGGTTGGACAAGGTCTTTAAGATCATCAAGTCCAACTGGTAAGTGAGCACTGCCAAGTCCACCACTAAAACATGTCCTTAAGTGCCACATCTACAGATCTTTTGAATTCCTCCAGGGATGGGGACTCCACCATTGCCCTGGGCAGCCTGTTCCAGGGCTTGACAACCCTTTCAGGGAAGAAATTGTTCCTAATGTCCAATCTAAACCTCCCCTGGCACAACTTGAGGCCATTTCCTCTTGTCCTATCACTTGTTACCTGGGAGAAGAGACCAACACCCACCTGGCTCCAGACTCCTTTCAGTGAGCTGTCAAAAGCAAGGTGGTCTCCCCTGAGCCTCCTTTTCCTCACACTGAACAGCCTGAGTTCCCTCTCAGCTGCTTCTCCTAAGGCTTGTTCTCTAGACCCTTCCCCAGCTTTGTTGCTCTTCTTTGGACACACTCCAGCCCCTCAATGTCCTTCTTGTACTGAGAAACTAAAAATATCCCATCAAAAAAGCCAGACTCCCACAGCTGTGGACAGTGGGTGATCCTCAGCTTACACCTACCTCAGGCACCCAGCTTCAGGACACTAAAAGCCTGGTCTGCAAAGGGGCACTGCAGAAGCTAAATTTAATGCAACCTGCTGTTCTTTATAGTTTACAGTCCCAAATTTGATAGCCAGGGCCCTTAGAGCTTGTGTGGGAGAGTTAGATATCCAGAAATGGGATTAACAGGTGAGAAAAGGAAGCTGCCTGGTGTAATTGCTGGAAGCAGCGAGAATTGCTAAGGAAAGGCACGGACAGTTCTCAAAAGATATTTAAGCAATGAACCCCAGGTTGAGCTAGGAGTGCTCTTCTGGTCTAAGGTATGCAAACATGGTTGAGAAATTTCTACAAAAAGACAGAGGAAGAGACTCTACAGCAAAGTATTTAGCACATTCACCCAGGGAGAGGGATAATCAGTCTGTGCACCTTCTGTCAGAAAACTAAATAGTTATTTGTGTGTAGGAAAAAAAAAATCCAGGAGTAACTCTTAAGAGAGCCTTGCCCTAGGATATCCTACAGGCTGAAGGGACTTGAGTTCTCAACCAAAGCAGATGGGGAGAAGTTCAGGAAGATGTCCCTTACCTCCTAAGCAAGGGACCTAACCACCTGGGGGGTTTACAGAGAACACCTCCAGTTGTGTCTGCACTGGGTCTGGCTTGGCCATGAATAAAAGTACTCTCCAGGTCGATATTCAGGGCTTGCAGGAGGTCCATGGAGTAAATGGTTAGACCGTGGTTCATGGTCCAACTCTGGGATCTGAATGAAGCACTTCTGTTCCCAGCAGACATCAGGTAAAGGTGCTATCAGATGTCTCCCAAATGCTGTGCAGCTCTGCTCAACCTGCTTCCTAATGCAGGAGAACCAGTCTCCCAGTGCACTGCTTAACCCTCCTGAAGTTCACAAGGGCTCCACAGGTGCATCAAGCAGACAAACCTTGTCTCCTACACTCAAGCAGAAGTGACAATGGTGGGGAGCTGTTCCTCTCTTCCTGCCACCAAACAGAATTTGACTCTGAGCTGTAAATAGTGTCTCACTGCTCACCCATCCCTTCACCAAGCTCCTCACCAGTGTCCAGAGCAATCCCTCAGCTGCTGCTTTGAACAGAATGTTCTGCTGGTCACTCCATCTCACTCCAGTCTCACATTAACACTTTTGCACGCCTGCTTCAGTGGAGCCAAAAACATCAGGCAGAAACTGCCCTCCTGTAAAAGGGACTGGGGCCAGTATTTAGCTTGGCTTTACCCATTACCCACATCTGGCAAGTTGATTTTGCTCCATTTGACTTCCAGACTGTGGCACATGGATATCAGGAACAGGTACCTACTAGGCATGAAACTAAACACAGACTCACACAGACCAACAGGAGCAATTGCCAGGGTGCACTTCCAGTAACTGGGTGTGTTCTGTCTACAGGGTGAGCAGCCATGAGGAGCAGCAAAGTTTATCTACACAGAAGCTTCACTAAATAGAGCTTATTAAATTTTTCTTCTTGTTTTTAAGTAAGATACTCCCCTGGAGCCTAATGATTTAGTATGGCACTTGGTAGTCAAGCCATGGCAGTCTAAGAAAGTGAGTGCAAAGGGTGAGTGTTCAGCAGCTACAACAGCTCTGCCAGACCTCACTCTGTAAGACACTGCAGAAAACCAAAGAATAGTAGGAAACAGGGTTGGGGAAAAATCTGAGAGGTCAATTAGTTCATCTTCCTGCCCAATGCAGGACCAACTGGCATCAACAATTCTCAACAAATGTTTGTTAAATATGCCTTTATCTCCCCCCCCTCAAGGGAGCTTCTACCACTTGCCCAGGCTTTAAGTCTCCCTAACCTTCTGAAATAATGCTGAGGGACAGTCTGAGAGGAGACAAGCAAGGGGAGGTCAGAAGGGAACTGGTGGCACACGGAGGTTCAGGGTTCTGCCCAAGGTCACATCACAAGTAGGTCATGGAGAAGGGACAAACAAGAAGGTCACAGTGCATGCAGATCCAACTCAGAGCATTTGCTGCAGAAGCCAGTCCTTCAATCCATAACACAGCCAACTATCTAACCAACACCAGCCGTGCTGTCCATGGCCAGGCCACGTGTTGCTGTCCCCACTGAGCAGAAAGAGGAGTCCAGCCTAGTACTGACATGCAGACATGCCCCATGTGGTACACCCATGGCCAGGCCCTGCTCTTATCTACACCAGCCCAAGCCCACTGATTCCATGGTCCCACCAGGATGTGATTCATGCGTGCCCCTGCTCCACCCAGCTGGCATGCTCATCTCCCTGATCTTGGCTTCAGGACTCCTGCTTCATGGGGACAGGCACTGTCTTTTGTTGAGCTTTTGTACAGATCTGTTGGCCTCAGTCTACTTTTGGTCTACAAGGTGCTACTGCAAGAGAAACAGCTGATGGCAATGAAGAATTACTGCACAGTTCCCTTTGAGCAAGAAGAAAAAGTGAAAAATTTAACCCTGGTGAGCCCGTGGTCAGGCTACCTCTGAGACTTGCAGTCTCAAAATCTTGACCTAAAACATGCTAGGAGCCAGATGCTGGGATGTCAGCATGTGGACATGGAGGCTGTCTCCCCAAAGGTCACTTCTGTTTGTTTCTAGTGTTTCCACAATAACAACTCTGAATTACGACTGCTCAAATCTCTTCCCAAAGGTGTGGGTTCCCTCAAGGAGGAATTTCAATGGATAGAAAAACAAAACACTGAAAGTCATCCTCAAGCCTTAGATAGTTAGGAGTACCCTGACATGCCCAGGAAGACAGTCCCTAACACTGGATAAAACATTATTTGAGCTTCTGTTTGCTGCCGTTGGAACAAAAATTCCTCTTCCAGTGGAAAGAAACCTGGAATGAAATGAGTCATTCCTGGAGAATTCAATGGCAGGCTTTTCCCAAGAGGCTGTCAGAGAATGCCCAAGATTAGAAGCCTGACTGCATTCAAAGCCAAAACCCAGGGGACACTTTGGTATCATGAGGTACCTATTATAACAGAATAGCAGCTTTTTTTGTTTAAACAGAATGGAGAAAAAAGGAGAGGGGAAAAAAAAAAAGCAAGCAAGCTCTCTTCACAACCTGTCCCTCCATTCACACGTCGATGAAAGGCTGTTAGTCATCTGCAATTAATACTTGAACCAGCAAGCTCTTGGGAGCCATCCAAAAGAATCTGTCTTTAAAAGCCCACCTATTAGTCATCCACCCCTCTCCTCCTTCCCAAAGCCAAACCCACCTTGAGAGTCCAGTGCCTGCCCAGCTCAGGGCAAGATGCCTCATAAGAAACCACTGAGCACACCAAAACAGACTCCAAGGATTGCCCCTGCTAGGTAAAGGCCCCTCCTTTCAGACAGTGCTGAGCTCAAAGAAGAAGTTGGAAAAACACAGTGGCCTATGTTATGAGGCCAGGCTGGAGAATAAAGGTCTCCAAGCTTTAAAGGCAAGGATCACAGAGGGAGGGTTCCTGCTAGAGGAACCTTCAGTGATGCACATTTCACTGCAGACCTGGCCACAGACACATGAACATCGTTCTGGGGGTTTGGGGTGAAACAAAATCAGTGCTAGATAAAAGAACACGGTGTTAGCAGCACTCTCCCTCATACTCTGGACTTCACCATGCCCCTGCAACTGCCCCCAAGATGGGGCAGCTTCACATCCAACCTAAACACACAGCAACCTACAGTCACTGTCCTCTGTGTGCTCTCACCAGCCAGACACACTCTGAAAGTTGTTTCTGTTGCCCAAAGGGTGTTAATGGGAAAACATCTCCTGCTGTTGGCTGTGCAGCTGTCTCCACCATCTCAGTTGCTTAATTCCTCCCCATCTGAGTTTGGGGGATTTTTTTTCTGGGGGAAATACAATATTTGTGTGTCACCTTTTAATAGTCTGTAAGTGAAATAATTTCGAGAAGGAAAAACCTGGCTTGAAGAATGAGAACCTAACAAGCTGTGTCCAGACAACAGCTCCTGTACCCTCACTAGCTGGGAACCAGAAAATAAGGTGACTTCTCTTCACACCCATGCACCACACTAAATTAGGCACTTAAGAACAACTCACTGCTCAATGCTGAAGTGGGCACCAGGCACCCTAAAACTCCCCCTCAGCAAAAAGAAGAGTACCTCATTGTTCACACAGACTAAGTCCATCGTCTGTCCAAAAGCATCCGTGACCTTCTGCACCACTTCTTTGAATCTGACTGGTCTGGGGAACTGGATAATCCTGTACACACAAACAAATACAACAGCCTCAGTTTCACAGAAGCATACTGGAATTTGAGATTAGATTGACAATTCAGAAGAAAAGACATATTCTTCTATCATGAAGCATGAAACTTGCTCCTTGTTTTTACACTCATGGAAATGCTGCTTGTCTGCTATGCCCAAGAGGGGACTTGACTTACCCTGCAAGAATATCTACCAAAAATCTCAGTGCAGCTCCTACCCCTACTGTCAGGTACTGGTGGGAAAGAAGAAAGTCAGCAGCCTTTCACTGGAGAAGACCCAGGATCAGGCTGGTCAGTGATTTATCATCTCCATTCTCAGCAAGTGGCTCTCAATAGGGAGGAGGGATGGAAGAGAGAATGATGCAGTTTGGCATCCTGTGACGCTCCTGTGGCACCACATGCAGCAGCTCTATAGGTACAGATCAGCAGGTACAGTCCAGTACCATTACTTCAAATTTTCTTTGGCTTTAACGTGCAACTTGGACCATCAGCCTGTGAGTTTCCAGCCCTGTGTCCTGCCCTGCCACAGTCACCCAGCACCAAGCAGAGGTGATTCCATGAAAATGTCAAGCAGGGAAGGGCGGGCAGGCTTTAACTCCCAGCACTGTTTGTGTGGGATCCATGCCCAAAATCTGGTTATCTTAAGTAAGTGTCATAGGCTGCTAGTCAAAGGACACATTTCTGTGGAGTTACAGCTCAGCTGGGGGTCAGCAGGGCTCAAGATGTAAGAAAAGGATCCAAGTGTGCACCCTATGTCCCTGGTAAGAGGCTTTTAGTGACTTCCAGCTTGGAACCACTGTGCCTGTGTGCAAATCCCAGGAGGCACTTGTGGCAAATGGGATGATGAGGCAAGGCTCTTGCCTGTAGTTGATTTGCAGGGAATGAATCCTGCTGTGAGCTCATCTGCAGCTGCCTGAAGTCAGCAGGACAACATTGGGGAAAAAAAGGTAATTTGTCCCTGTGCTTGCAGGGGACTGGGTTGGGTACATACCTTTTCTCTCCTTCATATTCAAACTTGATCCTGACATTTCGCTGCTGAAAGAAAAAGCAGAAAAGTGGTTAGGTCCCAAACTGCATCCCAGGCTGACTTGCAGACCCAAAGCTGACAGGAGTTTTCAGGGAGACTCCCTGAACTCCAGTGGGCATCTGGTCTGTTGAGGGCCAAGCTGCCTGCTGGGCTCATGGGCTTTGGGGAAACTCCACATTGCTGAGAAATGTGCTTGCCAAAAAATAAGGTCTTCTGTAAACATGAAGACACTCAAGTCATCTCTGTAACTCTTATTTTTAATAAAATGCATTGATAAAAATGGAAAAATGTGAAAGCTCTGAACTCAGCTGGGAACAAGGCACCATTATCAAAGAGGCAAACATGTTACGTGTCTGATGTTCATCCACCTTCAGCATTTCCCATGGTTTTACCCCAGTACTTTTCTGTTGGAAACCCAAAAAGCAAAGCTCAGACAATGTTTAACAGAACACAGAAATATCTGGATCAAAAAAATAAGTAAAAGCAAGCATCCTGTAATGGAAGTGGAAATGAGACCTTGGATTTTAAAAGCCAGCAGTGCTGGGGTGGTCATACAGCTGGCTGTTATTTTGTCAGGACCTACATAATGCAAAGTATATCAGGAATCACTACACTATATAGAGTAAACACCAACACTGAACTGACCTGCTGCTCACCTCCAGATAGCAGTGAATGTGCCCAAAGAAGAGCCAGCAGAGTCCCAGGCAGACTGGGCACACAACTCTGCAGGGACTAGCAAAAGCCATTTCCCCCATCCTCTGTTTGTGCATATTTAGCAGCAATCAAGACCACAAGGAGCCTTTTCATTCTTTCAGCTTCTCAGGCTGAGCCTGAGCTAAGCATCCCTCTGGCATCCCTTGGCTCATTCCAGGATTCTCCTATGGTCTCCAAGGCAGGCCAAATCCCTCTTTACTTCCCAGACTGGGTTCAGTCACACCAATTAACCAGGGCTATGCCCCCGCTAGTGCACACAAGCCTCCTCAAATAATAGTTTTCTTCCCATGGAGAAAAAAGTGCTGGCCCCCTCCACCCAAGGTGTAACACCAGGGAGGGCTCAGTGCCGAGCTGCCCGCATCTCCCAGGGACAAGCCCCGAAAGGGTGGGTGACAGCCCTTCCTGGCCAAGGCCCTTATCTCCAACCCTGGGCTGCCAGCATGTGAAGGCACACTTTCCATCCTCCTGGAGAAAAAGCAGAGCCCCAGTGAAACAGCTTTGTCTCTAATGAGGAAAATGAGCTGGACAGGCATCTTTAGGTTTATTTTTAAACTATACAGCTCCTCGAGTTCTGCAAACACCCACTGAAGTTCAGGAAGTTAAGGCTGGAGGCAGTTCGTTGAAAAGCTCAAGAAAAAACCCCAGCAGATTCAGGGTAAATACGTTGGATCATCCAAAACACATCTTTTTTATCTCTGCTTGTGGCATTTTCTGTGCTTCTGGAAGGGCTGGAAAGAACCACTGCTGGGACAGTCACCAAATGGGGCACTCCAGAAGTGTTACAGGCCTGGGCTCAACAGGCCCTTAGATCACCTCGCTGTCTACAGCCCATCCTCCAGACCCACAATGTTTGGAAAAACGCCAGATTTGCTTCTAGAACCAGGCTCAACTCATACAAATACCAACTCCACTAACTCGAAACCAGCCCAAAATTCAAAAGTAAAAGGGAGGACCAGACCAAACCAAGTCTTGAAGGTCAAAATCATTCTCAAGAGACAAATATGGATGGGATAGTCACCCTGGATTATCTCCGTTAGAGAAAGAAAAAAGAGAGAGGCTCTTTTATGTCAATTTTTATTTGCATGTGCTTCTCTGAACAGGGCCTGGCTGGTCCATCCCTCCTAGATGCTGGCAGTAAATCAATCAGCGTGGGTTCCCTGCGTGTAGCTCTGCAAAGCCCTTCTCTAAAGCCAGAAAAAAAATCAGGGCAAGGAACTTTCGAGGTTTCTCCTTACAAAGGAGCAGGACGTGTGATGGGAAGAGCTCACGCAGCTCCGGCCTCGCTGCAGGAAACCTTTCAAAACACAGGTTTCACTTTCAGCACCGGCCCGAACGCCGCGCGGAGCCGGGACGGAACACACGCTGCCTCTCTATGCTGAGCAACACACATTTCCCAGACAAATAAGTTTTGACAAACAGCTTGTGGCTGGAAAATGTCAAAACACTCAAATAAAGCTCTAGAGTGAGAAGAAAAAAGGGGGGGAGGGGAAAATGAGCCATGACTGTTGCATCCTTTTCTTCCTCATCAACAAGAGGGCTGATGTGCTGTGGCCCAAAGCCAAGAGAAGCCAGCCAGCCAACCTGCACTGCTCCAGAGCAGAGCAACAGACACACTGGCTGCAACAGGGCAATGAAAACCCACTCCATGGGTTTACTACATTTTATTCTTTTTTTTTCTGATATAAAACACACTAACATCTCACCTCCTTCAAAGAAACCAAGACCTTAAGCTCGCAAGCACTTGGAAGAAGGATAAATATGTAGTTATCTATAGTCTGAGAAGTTGGTTGTGCCTTTATTTTTCAGTCTTCCCTTTCTATTGCTCATGCTCTTGACCCACAGCTAAAGCTGAATTCATCAGCTATCAGCAACGAATACTTTTTTCCTTTTAAAAAAAAAAAAAAAAAGAGTGGGCAGTGCCCAAAGCACTAGGAAGTCCCAGGGGGATGCAAAGCACTTCCTAAACGTTGGAGCAGGCTGTGATTTTTTACACCCATGGAAATCTGGTTTGGAGCAACTGGTTTGAGATTACGCAGGGGTTCTGGGGCACTGCCAAGTGCTGGAGCAACATCTCACACCAGTCTGCACCCAGTGCCTCAGATGCATGACCGAGGGGAAGGCAGGACCAGCACCTCCTCCGTAAGGACCTCACCCTGACCTGCAAATGCTCGAGGGCTGGTTGTGGAAGAGGAGGGGGTGGTGGAGGCTGCTGGGTCCTATTCACACCTGCAGTTTTGTGAGGGATGAAGACAACAGCAACGACTCCTCGCACAAACCAAGTCCTGCTGTTTACCCTCCCCACCATCAGATGTCAAGTGAGGTTAATGGCAGCCTTGCTCTCCCCTCAATCACGAGGTCATTAGTTGGTGCAGGAGAACGAGCCGAAACTCCCAAGAAGGGCATGTGTTAAACACAGTGGAGGAGAGGGGTAAGGCCATGCTGCAAGGCACCAGCCTTAAACACTGAGCTCTGGCATAGGATTTCAGAGGTGGCTTCATGGAGCAGTGTGAAAGGTGAGGCAGGCAATGGAGCAAGCAGGGGAAACTGAGGCACGAATGTGAGGGATATTTTGCCTACAAGTGTGAAGAAAAAGCCCAGCATGGGGAAAAGAAGTCTCCAAGGAGACTTCCAACGTATAAAAAGGGTTTTACAAGACAGAGGGAGACTTTTTTCCCAGGTCAGGACAAGAGGCAACAGTTTGAAATTGCAAAAGGCTAGATTTAGGTTGGATATAAGAAAGAAATTTTTTTATGATGAGGTTGGTGAGACACTGGAACAGGTCACCCAGAGAAGCTGTGGGTGCCCCACCCCTGGAATTGTTCAAGACCAGGCTGGATGGGGCTTTGAGCAACCTGGTCTGGTGGGAGGTGTCCCTGCCCATGGGAGAAGGGTTGGAACTAGATGATCTTAACCAGCAAGGTTCCCTCTCCACGTGCGTTTCCATGGGCCGTGGGGCACTGAGGAGCCCGCGTCTCGCCTGGCGCCCGCGGGCCCTGCTGCAACCCAAACAAAGCAAGCAACAGCCCTGACAGGAAATACCACAGCAATTCCCCTCGTTTCTGGAATAATTTCTTCTCCCAGATACTTGTACCGGCATTTCCTCCAGCCCTGCTAACAAATGGTATTTTACTCTTTCTTGCCATCTGCTTCAAGAAAGGAAAAAGCAAAGCCACCGCGGTGGCCACAAACCCATCACCATCTTTCCAGGCTTTCCTTGGAGGTATTTTTAGCTCCTTCCTCAAAACTTCTAATTGCACAAAAAGCCCACAACTGCCAAGCTTCAGAGGAAGCGCTGGCAGGAAGGGGGCAACAGCTTCTGCCCACTTGGCTGGGGACCACGCACCCCGGCGGGCTCGGCCAAGCCCGGCCCCTGGAGCTGGAGCAAGCAGCCTGGTTTAGATTAAGGAAAACATTGGAATAAAATGGAAAAAGTGTTTCCAAACGAGGTGAATCATGATCTTATACAGAGATCCCTGAAGAGCTGACTGCTGTTTGTAATAAAAGCACACACGGAGAGCAGGGAAACACGCTGTTAGGCCTAAAATGGAAGCGGCTTTGGGGGAGCAGAAGTTGCTGAGCATCCTCGCTGCTGAACACCCAGAGAGCAGAGCAGGGTGCTGGTTGGTCTGAGCAATGCCATGCCCGTGGAGAAGGGTGTCTGATGGCACAGGGACAGCCTCACTGCATCACCTCGATGCTACCGACTGCTGGCAGGGACCCAGTGGAGGAGACAGCCCCGCACCTCCGTGTCTTGCCCTGCCCTAGGGTGGCACCCAGAGCTGAAGCACCTACCACCTGTCAAATCCTAGATGAGCAACATTTCTAACACTCTCCTCATCATATGTCCTCTCCTGCTCCCAAATTCAGTTGCCATCAGAAACGATGTTCTGGTTGGACCCCATCTTTGTGGCTTTCTGTTGCTTTTAAAGCAACTTTTTTCAAACTAGAGGACACCTTTGCCCATGATGACAGGCCACAGAGGTGGAGACTTCAGATCGTTTCTTCAATCCAAATCCATGGTTGCCTCACAAATCACCTGGAACAAAGCCTCCAGCTCCAGCATTAAGCCTTCTGAAGTCAAGAAAGGCAGGAAAAAAAAATCATCATAAGGGGCCTCCTCTTCCTTTCAGTATGCACCAAGAGGGGCTCATTCCAGCTTTGCTCTTACCCACCCACAAGACTTTGGGGACTGACTTTGCCTCAGTTTCCCCCCCCCCCCGGGTAAAACAGGAACAATGAAAAAGACCCACTTCTGTATGCTGGAGGGCAAGCAGAAGGATTATATTCACTTCTCTCATTTTCTGCTTGTTGGATGAGGAAACAATCAGAAGCCCTGCTGAGCAGTGCTGCGTTCAAGGATCACCGCTCTAGTCACTCCTCTGTACGAAGCCACAAAGCGGTGGTGGGATCTCTCCTCATCTTCTGGCTTTGGCCAAGAGAAACCAGCACTGCAAGGCCGTGCTGAGGGGACTCCTGCAGCTCCCCAGCGTGCAGCACGTTGTTTGCATCAGCTCCGTGCTGCCCCTGCTTTCAGCCACGGGACATTTGCTAGGAGCCAGACAGCTGGCCCCGGCCCTCGGCCGCAGCAGGAGATGACTAACCCGCACCATTAGGAACCATCCACACAGAACCCCCACGGGCTCCGGGCTCTTCAGCAGCCAGACAGAAAGGGGTTTGTCTGGGATTGCCCTTTATGCTCTCGGGGGGAGTGGAAGCTATGAGATTCTGATCCCCTTGTATCCCTACAGCTCTTTTCCTCTGAAACA